AAAGGGGACGATTAGGACATGAACAAGAAGGGAAAGACCCAAATTTTTGCACCGACTCAACAGGACGCAGAGCAGGATTCAAAGGAATTGCAGGTATTTTATTATTATCTAATGAACAAGCTTATGTTCTATATAATTCAGGGCTGTTTACTTAATTAATTTCTCTTAACCTTGTGCTAGAAGTGAGGAATTGATGGGCTTAGCTAATAAGAAAGATGTTAGATTGATGCAGTGAAAGCATTAGAAGAATTGTAAATTAACAAATATAGAGGACAAAGAAGTCTTTCAAGTCTTATTCTAATAAAGCACCACACAATCAGGGTGTGTTAGGCTCCACCAAAATAGGATAGAGGGATTTGAATTTTCCTTTCATGGTATAAATGCAACATAGACGAATATCAAGATGGGGACATAAACCTAACCTCTCGTCAAAAGTATCAAAGATGAAATCAATAAATGATAAGATACTATTTCATGTACAAATATGAAGAAAGGAAAAGTAAAGCTTAGAAACCTCTTAATGTGGGAAGGTCATATTTGTCAATTTGTACAAGGACACGAAGTTGTCGGGACAAGTCGAGAGGATATCATACTCTTCAAGCAGCGTCAATCCTTTCCCTCTGAAGCAAGTGAATCGACAACCTAGGTTCCCTCGCGCTAAATGTGAAGAATAGTGTCTTAATCAAAGTGAAGTTAATTCGTGATATATTTGACCATAGTCTAGATAGACCACGGTCGTCCATCATGGCTGATGAAATAAACATCTAGAGAGGAGGCCGCCTTTCTCCACAAGTCCAAAAAGTCTAAGCGCGTAAGAATGGATCCCTACTAAGCCTCAAGTATAGAGCAATCACAATCACCATAAGATGAGGAGAATGCACACATACAGCCTCAAGACTGATGCCAAATTATGTCCTCCCCACTTGCAAAGCCATTCATGAAGCACCCAATGATGCTAATCTTGTAAGATTCCATCAGTGAAGTATGCCAGAATACCAAAATAGAAGGTGATAGGAGATGTGTGAGGGAAACACCAAAAAGAGGGGCAATACTCAAGTTCCTTTGCTTGTGTACGAAATCTAAATAGATGACATGCGTGAAGAAAAAGATAGTATACGATAGACCCATCAAATGATCCTTCGAGGCCCCATAGCAATCTCCCGGTGCTTCGCATCATCCCTCATAGTCCATAAATAAAAAAGGAATAACGATAAATTATAGCCACTCTAAATAAACTGGCGTGAAAACCGCCAGTTCCGAAAGAGATTGAAATCCCTCGTTCTATAGTAAAAGGGCCTAAAATATATTTGAGAAATGACACCAAACTCGTTCTGAAAATACCACTTCCTGTTAGCGAAGTGGTCTTAATCTTGAGCAATACTAACATCCGAGGCCAAAAGGCACCCAATCTGTCACTGAATCGTGACGTTAATTTTTAATTTTCTTTTCTTTTTATATTTAATCTAAGATAAAATGCAGAAAAAAATGACTTTAACATTCAAATAAACGATTTACAAGAGAATATGTCGATAGCCACTCACATTTTATAAACAATCACCCTAACTCAAGTGCTGAAAGAAAAGTTTGGAACCATCGTTAAAATGTTAAACGTTTCGGGACCTAACTGGAATAATCCCTTGTTATTTTTCTTTGTCTGCATGGCAGATTTTCAGAATGAAGAATCCGTTGTTAGTTGAATGGGTAATTGGCGCAAAACATCCATACCTTTCGAGTTTATTGTGGAAAACGTCTCTACCTTTCATTTTTGGCATTTTTGCCCTTATTTACCACCTTTCTTGCGCTGAAGGTCCTTTTCACTGTTTTTTGACGATTTTGCCCTCTATTCAAATAAAAGAAAAAGAATAGAATAGAAAACAAAAGAATTAATTGCAACTAATACCCCAAAATTTCAAAAAATTACAAATTAGTAATAAATATAGGAGTTAATAGCCCAAATGGTTACTAAACTTTGCCAAAGGTCCAAAAAGGTCATTGAACTTTTTTAAATACAAAAAGAAAAAAAAAACCAAAAAAACCAACAAAAAAATTGAAGAAACGGGCCCCACCAACAAAAAAAGGACCAAAAATAATAATAATAATAATAATAATAATAAAAATAAAATAAAGAATGTGAAAATGGAGGAAGGTGAAAGGTAAACCAAAAATTTTTTTTTTTTTTCAATCATACATTTTTAATCAAAATTTATTGAAAATTTTATTTTTAAAAATGAAGAAAAAAAATACAGATTAGTTTTGCTAAAAATAAAATTTTCAATAAATTTTGATTAAAAATGTACGATTGAAAAAATAAAAAATAATTTTTGGTTTACTTTTCACCTTCCTCCATTTTCACATTCCTTATCTTATTATTATTATTATTATTATTATTATTATTATTATTATTATTATTATTATTAT